TGCTCCACCCATCATAAGACGGTATATGCAAATTTACAAGCCCGAATCTGGCCGGTAATGTGAGGGCGCTTACACTGATGACAAGTCTGTTGGAATTTCGCGGTCACATGACTTTCGCGTTCACCCCACGTTCACGCAATTTATATTTATTTTTCAAAAAATTTCCATCGGAATCGCAACAGACTGGAAGCAAGCCTAGGGAAAACCTTGAAAATATCATATAAATTATATTGTGTTCATTTTAAAGAAAATATAAATATCATAGTTTACGTGACATACGTGTATTTGGTTGAAATCAATGACCTTCCATCGACCCAATAGAATTGTCCCTCGTCGTCTAAATCGTGTAAACCAATCCAACAATCTTCAGTGGTAAAATGTTCAAGGAAAACCTTTGTAAAAAATACTGAGACTAAATTTAAAGCGGTAATAGCTGTGATTTTAAAGATGTGTTGTTTTATATATTCAAGTATAGTTGACCAAATCTTAACGAAATATTATTTGACAGCACACAATGCTAATATCACATAAAATATGATGTGATGCAATGTGAAAACTAAAGGTCGAATAATCGGCATTGTGTTGAAATCTGGTACATATAGTGTGAACCGTAGACAATTATGACGCACAAAGCACACTTTTATGGAAGGGAAATGATGCATAAAATCATCAGAGAAAGTGCTCAGCGTATTTGACATTTGCCGAGACCACCGCCTAAGCTGTTATCTTGTACCGTAACCCCCAAGGTTTCCTGAACAAAATTGGATTTTTAAAAAAATGGCGCCCTCTTTAGACAGGGACCATCTTTCTTTTTATTTGCAAGTGATTTAATGTGCAAGGTCGGTATAGAGCGTATATGCTGTGCTTTCTGTGTTTACATTTAAGAAATGGCCGTTACAAATTGACAGTGATTAGGCAGAGAATGTTTTATTGGAAATAAATATCGCAGAAAAAAGGTCGATTGCTTTAAGAATGTCTAATAAACATAAGCATGTCTACGTATTTATTCCATACGGTTATGTATGGTCGCTCGGTTTATTAAAATTATTCAGATTTTTACATAGCAGTTTTAAGATTAATATGAAAAGAGCTTTATCAAGTATTACTGTGTTAGTTTAAGATACGGAAACAATATAAAGATGGAAATATAACTATCACGTTGGCGTACATGAGTTTACCACCCAAAGTGTTGATTGATTAACATGATGCACGGGGTACAAGATATCTCACCTGGACTTCCTCGCTATCTATAACCGCTAGTATTCCACCCATAGCTACACACTCATCCCTAGAACTGTACCATGTTCTGTTCGCTTCTGCCTGGTCAACCCAGAAACACCTGTCATCAAATTCGAACCATCCATAACTACATTTTTGGGTTGAAACTAAAAAAAAGAGATTAAGCAAAATCTGTCAGTTTCTATCACCTTTACATACTCAGATTATGCTATGCGATTTACGGACGATAATGAATTAATATCAATATTTGCAATTATTTTTTTGGAATATTCGAAAACAATAACCCAGAGTGCATTATGCTCTTTTTAAACATAGCTTACATAATTTAAAACAAGGGTACTGCCCAATCACATTAATGCATTACACTGACACACTGGTGTAATGTCACTGCGCATTTCTTCAAATCAACAAAATAGAAAAAACATTTATTGATTTACGATAAATCATACTTCAGTATGTATACAAACATGCAATTGAAAAACAAATTGTTACACTGTTTATTAAAATTATACCTTATCTATATTGCGCACAGGGAGGATAACTCATATCATATAATACAGGTGGTTGACAATGTACGTATGAATGTACGTTAGCCAGTCATACGTAGTAATAACAGGAGCAGAATATAATATATATATATATAATATATATATATATATATAACATTGCATCGAATGTATTTGAATGGTTAGCTCCCCTAGTAAAAGATCAGTAGTTCTAATATATACTGAGTTCACAGTGGTAAAACGTCTTCGTGTTTTGAACCCTGCCATCAACTCCTACCCACCTATAGCAAAGCACGAAAACAACAGAGTGATTCGAAAGTCAAGTAGCCTCAGCCCGAACATGTTTCCCAGAGACGCTAACTCAGACGCAGTTGTGGATAACACTTCGTGTGCACTGCTTCCTCCGAGGTAGCACGGTATATAAAACGGGGCGTTTCTTCGCTAGAGGTCACTGCGATGGTTCGTTTGCTCGGGCATTCCACTTTGTTTATCAAACCTGGTGACAGAACATAAATAATGTAACAAAAGGTGCACGGTACTGTATTCTAAATCATGTTTTTGTTTTATTCTGATATTTTCTTTTTTTTTGCGCAATTATTCAAGGTCGAAGGAAACAAATCTGCGTTCGTGTACTTACACAATAGATAAAATTAGCGATGAGAAAATCCAAAAGTATGTTTATCTGTGTTCTTGAACCTAATATATAGATTTTAGATTACACTTTTATAATTGTTTAAAACATCACTGAAAAAATGTACGTTACTTTTGTACTATTTGTTTGTAAATAATAATATTTTTACAAGAATGCTTTCTAAAGTGTCTTCACTAGACACACATTTTGTACAGTGTTTATGATTACGATACGTCCTAACTGGACACATGAAGTGTTTACTATCGCAACACTTTGAAAATTGTCTTCACGCAAAACAATATTGAAAAGTGCTTGTAACATACACACGTTTGTGTTTCCACTGATAAGTATGGTACGTAGTTTAATGTCCTTTTCAGTTTCCTAAGGTATAAAATGATAGTGTTCTTCATCCACTTTTATTATATATTATTCTTTGCATGTAATTGATGTCAGGTCCAATCAATTACGTAATTATTGCCCCTGTCAATAACGTTCGGAAACGGGACACCACATTTATACTATTCTGCCATCGAAGTATTGTTTCTAACGTGTAGGTAAAAAAACAATCGGATTTCGTGATATCTTTCATACTTTACTTAAGTGGTTCAACATTTTTAGAAACGCCAGAAGTACAATATTCCTTAATATTAAGGAAATGCGTGAAGACATACATTTCAAAACATATTTTGTATACAGAAAGATTTAAGAGATAATAATAAGTTGTATACATTATTTGAATATTTTATCTTGATAAAAACGTGATGTGATTATATTGTTTTACTGTCGATAGAATACGCAGATTTATCTATGATTGCACTAGAATAAACATATGACGACACGCATATGACGAATAGGACGACAAACAAACTAGAATTCATCACTCTCACCTATTACAGAATGTTTTGGAGTTCGCAGTAATTATTGATTAATTATTAATTCTTCGAATTGAGCATTGAGATCCCGATTAAAATACAAAGCTGTTGGAAGCCCCTGTATAATAAAACATAGAGATGACGGAAAATAAACAAGATTCCTATGCTATTAGTGATGTTTATTATGTGCCTAGTTCAAATAACCATTTTATTACTGGCACAGTCACTGTTGATGATATTGAGTAATACACTTGTGTTGCTTATGACCATTCATAGTGCTAATACAACCACATCGCAGGTAGGAAAGACAACTCGTTTATGGTACGATGCAGATGATTTTTTAAATTGATTGGAGGTATCGAAGAAGTCACCGGCGATAATTAGTGCAAGTCGCGCCAAGGTCTAACCATATACTTGTGATTTCCATTAGAAGAGAGCATTGAATTGTTGGAAAATCAATGTTTATCAGAACAAATGTCGCACATGCGCAGCGCGACCAACACCGCTCTTTAACATATCACTACCGTTGTTTTGTTGAAGCAAGTAGATTGACCTATAAAGCTTCCCCAAGAATGAGGCTGCTATGGCACTTCCATCGAGGGGAATGAAAATGAACTCACACCATGATTCTTTGTTTTCGTTATTATCATATCATTTTTATATCATATTTTCTCATCGATAAGTAATATATTTTTACTATGGGAACAATTACATATCATTATGAAGCTTGTAAGCAAAATCAAAGGTAGTTTATGAAAATGTTCTTAAAGTGAATCTTAGTTTGTTTACATAGAGAGAAAAGGCGTAAACTTGCCGATCGACTTGCGTGGCGATATTCACGGTTTACACATAAGGTTGTTAAATTATCAGATCCCCCCGACAAAAAGTATTTCAAAAATGTTTTTGCATTTTTCTCTGCAGTTTTTCTCTAATAAAATATTTCAATAATTTATGCTTCTATTAATTAGTTCGAATACACTTGATATACCTTAACTATGTGTTATGTACGAACCACTTATTGCCATGAAGTTAAATAAAATCACCATTCAAGGGCAGCTGAAAATGAGATAGATTAATACATTTCCAGTGATTCCATTATTGTCTATACGTTGGCATGGGATATCCGTATATTTTAATACTGGTTTTAACGTCCCCTACCCACCCACACACAATGACTAATTCTTCACAATTTTATTCACTATTTGTACCGATAAACTTAAATAACACACACTAAGATACTGCGACCCTGTAATGTCGTTAGAATCACGTGCTTGTGCTACCAATTCCTAAATTAACATTGTCCGGGACAGTTACTTTTTCCGTCGTGGAAGACTCATTTTCGAATCTGGATGCAGCACCTCCGCTTGATGACCAAGTTCGGGTGGGGGAAGCCGAACTCCCATCTAAGATTCGCATGTAAATAAGGACAAGGTAAATCAACACAGCCAGTAGAAGTAGACAGATGAGAGTACCGATGATAATACCAATTACGTCACCAGTACTCAAACCTGAAAAGAACAATGTGACGGGATTTAAGTGCATAGGTAATTATTAGAGAGTGTTTGAACTTTGTTTCATCAAGGCTTACATTATTGTTAAAGGTTATGAAAATTCTGTATCCCCATCGCCTGGCCTAGGTGCTCATTTTGAACGCAGAATACACAGTGATCAAACTTTATCGCATGAATGAATGAAACATTATTTATAAGACGGGTTTTGTCATAGTGTTGATATTCATATTTGAATATACTGCTACCGGAAATATATTATTCTACCCACATTAGCAGAACAAATACAAAGTTGTGTTAAAGATGAACAACTAGCATTGGAATAAACTGTTTTGCAACTGCACTTCGTTGGGGAAATAATTGATGTCAATATTTCTTGTCACCTATGTATATATATATGTTGTACAATGCCACTGGAAACATACTTAAATTAATATTGTATCGTGCTACTCGGAGGTTGTCAATTAGATCATTGTCTAAGAATTACTTAACGTCAAAATTATTTTATATAAATGAATAGTATTGTAAAAATCTAGTCAAATATAATTTAAAATAGTGTTAAATTAAAACCCGACGCCCATTTCAGAAGCAACATCCTACTTACCGTCCTCTGTCATTGGTTCTGTATGAGAATAAAAAAAAGATTAAATAGTAGTTATTTATGTCCGCCGTTAGTCTCAAATACTAGTGACAAGCCTCAATCGTAATTAATTTTATTTTCATCGAGACAATCGCGTTCACTTTAAACAGTTACTCGTAAAATTGACAGAAGAGGAAACATTTTCATATTTTTCATTGTTCCCCTGTTGCATTATTTATCTACCATAATTTATTTATCAATCTAGTATTCACCTACCCATTGCTTTTTGGCACATGAACCCGTCAGTAAAGTCGAGGTCTTCACAGTTCTTGTCATTCCATCCCCCATCTTTTTGCATCTCAACGCAGTCATTGTTATTAGTTTCCTGCTCGTTAGGCTCGCCTGGTAACCAATTTCTATAACAGTGTATGCATTTAATGTACAATGTTGCCATAAGTAGCGATATCATACACTATTCGCATATACCATATAATCATACAAGCAAACATAGTTTCTAATGTGGGTTGTTTGACTATTGTAATGAAAAAAAATGCATGAATAACGTTACGGATAAAGACATTCTGTTTTTTCGGGTGTGGTGGGGTGGGAGCTGAAAACTGATTTTGACAGCACAATTCTGAAATATATTAAGAATAATATATCTGTTCATCTATTCACCCATCCATCAATCAATTCATCTATACATTCATTCGCCCATCCATTCATTCATCAATCCATACATCAACCCATCCATAATTCTTGCATGATTTTCCTCATCCTTTCAATCAATCAATCGATCCATCCGTCTCAACATCCATCCACCCATCCATCCATCAATCAATAAAACAATCAATAAATACATGCATTCATAATTATGACATGATTTCACTCATTTCCACTCATGTAACCATCCAACGATCCATCCATACGTCACGGTCCACTCTGTCATACATGCAATCATTCATCTATCTATACATGCGCTTTTATTTCATTTAATTTTAATCATGGCAAAAGGACGGTTAAAAGGTTCGTAAAAAAATCGCCCATCACTTATTTTAGATGTTCTACTAAAAACGAAAGCAATCGACAGCTTAATCGTTTTAGAAGATGTGTATCTGAACAGAAATACCATGCACAGGTATGTTCATTCACCCTTCTTTCCTCTATTCATGCATCCATTGTTAGATGACATAGAAGTATAAACTTACGTATAGCCTGTTGAAGTCAGAGTATTCCCGTCGACCCAATAGAATTCACCTTCACTGTCTAAATCATGTAAACCAAACCAGCATCTTTCTTTTGTGAATTGATACAGAAAATCCTATGGACGGATAATATAACATGCAATGTTGATGTGTATGACGCTTACGTTGACAAGACACTATCGAAAAACCGTGATAACGCTCTTTCTTACCTGAACCTCTTGGCTCTCAATAATTGCCAATGTGCCACCCGCACGATTACAGGCATCTCTGCCATCATACCACGTTCTCGGCGCAGCATTGTTTTCTATCCAAAAACACCTGCCAGCAAACGGCAACCACCCTTCTGAACATTGGGTTGAAACTTTGAAAGGAAAAAGTTGTTGAATATCAAAGATGTTGAATAACATGGTCCATGGCAATTTGTTTACGGACGTTTGCGGCATCAAGGCATATTAGAGGATGACCCTCACGGAGTCTACTGTCAATGTTTTGCGAGTGAGCTTGCAGTTATACCGAGTGTTGTTTACCTTATTATTTGTTTTTCAAATTTAATAATTCAAAAACTAATTTTGCATCTTGTTAACCATACTGACAGTAAATATATGTAAATCACTGATCTAATTAATTCAGACAAATCCTCTTCAACACGTTTCAGACTGTTGCTTGATTGGTTACTTTCTGACGATGAATGGGGAACTCTGATCCCAATTTGAAATAAAGGACCGTCACATGTTTGTTTTGTCTGAATGTAGTACACGTCAGGGTTATATGGATTTTACAGGTACAATGCCAGCTAGATTATTGAGACTTAATCATGACCGTATACTTATCACATGCAGAAATAGGCCTACTAACTATATTATGTAAACACACTAATTACGAGAATGACCTTCAAGAAAATGGCAAATGCCGAAATATACTATCGTCTAGCAAGATGTACATCTGCAGTGAACTTTGTTCACCTCAATGTTCTTTGTTATAAACAATAACATAAATGGCGAAATCTGAGCTTTCAGTAGTAAAACAAAGCGTTCATTTACTACACGAGCACCACTGTTCATATTTACAAATGATCGATGACACATTCAACGTGTTATTTTGGTATGTAACCGAAAATTCAGATGCACGAAGCATATAATTTTATATGGTAATGATTAATAAAGTTCAACTACGTACCTAAACCTAAGTATGTTAAAAAGAAGAGAAAGCACGTGTAGAAATATTTCATGATGTCTTCATCAGTGAATATCGCCGGAGAGGCTTAAATAATAGTTTCCAACGCTCTTCGTGTGTTGTTGTCGTTCTAACTCAAGTACGCAGGCGTTAGGAGGCGTAGACCCTACACTAATATATCAGTCAGTCATGTATATTTACACACCTTGTTGATTTAGATCGTTGTCATTCAGCAAAATCACTCAGTTCACATTTTGAAGGACGATGATGAATAGTTCTTGTGACTCCAAATACACCCATGTATCACGGTGACACCGGGAGAGGAGACTATATCAGTTTGTTGTTAGCAGAATGTGAGACTGGCGAGAGGGATAATATTAAGCATTTCCACTATGCTCAACAACTGTTAGCGGGGGGGGGGGGGTAGTAGTGTATTTTGACACCTAAGCCATGATGATTGGACTATGCGACAGGGCTGCGTGACCATCGTCCCATTGTTATGATACTGTATCAGATTACTGCGCTATTCCGACGGCAATGAAGGTCGGCTGAACGGCTCAGACGAACACAATTAATCTTTTTTTGGCAATGGTGTTAGCGTCTGTCAAGCCACTGTTTTGATATTTGCTATTATTTTGATACTCGCGAAAATTAAAACTAATATTCTCATGTGGCTTAACAGGTGTCCCTTTTTAGTATGCGGTTTGCTACCCTGGGAAGTAAGTTCGGATTTTATGTTGCGTGGTGTCGAGATACCAAGGTCATTGCTGTGGACGCATTGTTTTTCATATTTTTTAACACTGATATTCATAATGTAATGTTTTAGCAGCAATCAGCTAACAATATGGGTACGCAATTACACAATACCCGGAAAACACGTGAAAAAACACGTGGTTACATACTGTAACAGTTTTTCACCATAATACAAAGACATATTTCGTCATTTTGTACACTTATGTTATTTTTTTTCAAATAAATACTGTCCAGGGTCATTGGAAATTAAAAATGGGATATTGAGACTGTAGAGAATGTCTGGAAACATTTTTTTTATATAAACTGCTATATTAATGCATTTAATATTTCAAGGCGAGGTTCGATGATTCCGATGTATTGTCGAATGTCCCTGATTGGGTTAACGCACTATGGAGGGCCGAACACTGGTATTCACTTGTTTATCTTCAACTATTGAAGTTATATCACGACGCGCTTCTTATGTTGCATATGTTTGCACAGCTATTGAGATATCAGCCCTAGTATGAATTCGTAAGTTGCATTACTACCGCAGACATATTACTGGAACCTTTCCATTATTGGATCAACCGAGAACGCTTGTAGACTGTAGCGACTGGATGACGCCCGCAAATTGCAGCAAATTAACACTTAGAGGTCGCTACCCATAACACGACATTGTCAATGGCGAATTGAATACAGGATTCAGAACTGTATATATTTAGATAATGAGAACTGGATTTGCTCTACTGTTTAAAAATATAAGTCATCAAATCAGTTGCAATTAGCGAATCAATTCATTTCCAGTGCTGCTGGTCTAGCGCCTAGTCGAAGAGTTCCCGGTGAAATTGCCAA